TGGGGGGATGGAGGATGGGGGTTGGGGAGGAAGGAGGGAAGGACCACCTCCTCATTGGAGGTGCTTCAGTGCCCGTAGAGTGGGCTGCCGGCTTCCATCAAACTGGATCCTGTGGTACCAAGGCTGTGGATCTACAAGGCACTGTCAGGGCGGCTGGGGTGTGTTTCTGGGGAGCGCAAGTGTTTGGGATGACTCAGGAGGGATGAAGATTCTGTCCCTGAGATAACTCAGCTGGCTTCCAAACTGCTTTGTCAGGCAAAACCCTGTTGAGAGAGGTTAATTGCTTTTCTGTCCTCTGAAGGCGATGCTGGGGCCTCTTGTAGGCCTCTGAGTGGAGTTGTTGACCCCATGTACTCTGTCCGCACTTGAAATAGGGTAGTTGGTTTTGATGCTGTGACTAGATATTCCAGAGAGTTGGGGCATCAAGCAAGAGGGCATTTTTGTTGAATGTAAGTTGAGTTTGGGGTCAGATGTACTTTTGGTTCCTCCGGAGAGAGGTCTGTGATAGATCTATGTGTCTTTGCTTAGCCCTTCGCCCCATAGAAAATTGCAAGTCATTCTTCCAGACTCAGCTCAACTACCTCCCCTTCTCAGTCATCCTCAGTGGATGGAATAACTCATTTTTAAAATTTTATTTAAACTTTTCATTATGGAAATTTTAGCCATCCATAGGGGTGGAGAGAATAATATAATGAATCCCTGTGGAACTGTCATCCAGCTTCAGAAATTAGCAATATTTTGCCAGCCTTGTCTCATCTACCCCTCCCTTTATTTATTCATTCCTTTGTTTATTTTTTAATTCATTTACTTGTTGTTATTATTTGCTGAAATATTTAAAAGTAAATCTCAGGCTTCATATTATTTCATGGGTAAGTACTTCAGTATGTATTTCTAATAGATAAGGACCTTTAAAAAAACTTAACTCTAATACCATGACCATACCTAACAAAATTGACATTTAAATCTTCCTTGTTGTCCCAAAAATGTAATTATTTTTGTTTTGTTAATCCTTACCCAAGGATATTTTTCCATTGATTTTTAGAGAGAGTGGAAGGGAGGGAGGAATGGGGAGAGAGAGAGAGAAACACCGATGAGAGAGAGACACATTGATTTGGGGCCCTTGACTGGGAATCGAACCCTTGACCCTTCAATTTGAGGGCCAGTGCTCTAACTGCTGAGCAACACTGGCCAGGGCCCACAAATGTATTTTTAAAGTTAGTTTGTTCAAATATGGATGCAAACATGGCACGTATATTGTGTTTGGTTGATGTTTTCTAAATCTTTTCAAATCTATATTTCCCCTCCTTCTTTTCTTTCTTTCTCTGTTTCTTTGAGCTATTTGCTTGTTGAAGAAACCAGATCATTTATCCTGTAGAATTTTCCACATTCAGGATTTGGCTGATTGCATCTTCAAAGTATCATTTAATGGGAAATAGTTTCACATGGTATACACAATTCAAAATATATAATATTTGAACATACAAAATGATTCTCCTATCCCTGTTCCTTAGGAACCCAATTTTCCTGCCTGGAGATGGTCATTATTTTCTGCGTATTATTTCAGAGATAGGTTCCTATTTGAATTTAATCACTCTATCTTCTTTATTCCTGCCACAAATGATAGTTGGTTACATGTCTCTCTCTTTAGACTATAGATTTTGTTCAATCAGGGATTGGGTCTTTCTTTTTGATATCTTCTACCTTTAGCGATGATGCCTAGGACTGAGTTGATTGAATGTATTTCAATGCCAGGCTGCACCCTGCTAGCTCCTTGCCTTGGGAGAGGCCCCAGAAAGACGGTAAGGTTTGGACCCTGGCCGGTTTGGCTCAGTGGCTAGAGCATCGGCCTGTGGACTGAGGGGTCCCAGGTTTGATTCTGGCCAAGGGCACGTACCTCGGTTGCAGGCTTGATCCCCAGCCCTGGTCGGGGCATGTGTAGGAGGCAACCAATCGATGTGTCTCTCTCACATTGATGTTTCTCTCTCTTTTTCTCTCTCCCTTACACTCTCTCTGAAATGCAATGGAAAAAATATTCTCAGGTGAGAGTTAAGAAAAAAAAAAGACGGTAAAGTTTGGAATCAGAAGACCTGAGTTTGTGCCTCAGCTTTGGGAAGGTCATTTAACTGTTTCGAGCTGCCATTTTCTTTGTGTGTAGGCTAGAGATAGTTATACCACTTAATACAGATTATTTTGTGAAATATAACTGTAAAGCTGGTATGAAAAATAAGTCAGATGTCTACTAGAAGGTACGCTCTATGAGCATAGGGGCTTGGTCTGTGTTGTGTTTCTCCATGTCTGAAGCACCTACAACAGTACCCAGGACACAGAATGTCCTGAATAAAGGTATGTTGAATGAATGAATGAATGAATGAATGTTTGTATTGGAAGATCTCAAAGTCTGTGACAGTGCTCCCTTGCTTTTCTCTGTTCTCCTTTGTCCATCTAACTAGTGCAATGGGCCTTGGAACCCACCAGAGTGACATTATGCAGAGAGGTCCAGAGGCAGAACAGGCAGGGGGATGGGTGCCAGGGAGACAGTTACCCTCCATGTGTAAGTCATCTGAAAGGCAGTGGTGCCACAGCTCCTGGAGAAGTTGACAGCTCTGGGGGATGAGTAAGGAAAGTGCAACCTGGCATTTGACAGGAGGATAGCACGTGGTGGTTGTCACCAGGTAACAGGGGTGTAGGCTGGTCCCTGAGTTGTGCCGTGGAAGGAGGAGCTAGCTGGCACTAAAGAGAACCAGTAAATACTGTAAGAGTGTGTTCTTCCATCGGATCACTTATCTGTTCTCGTCCGCGTGACTGATAAAGGAGTGAGCGAAGGGTGAAACATAATTATCTCACCTGTCAAGCCAGCATCCCCAGGTCCCTGAGTATGCCAGAGCCAGGAGACGAGCTTGGCAGGCAGCAACTTGGAGAGGCACTTTCAAGGTTGGTGCTCAGCCCGCTTGGATCTCAGTGACTCAGCTCAGCTTCAGGAGGGGGTGGGAGCCAACGTGAAGGAGTGTTTCCTATGGCCGCAGTGGCACTTTGCTAGGTAGCTGAGGGTGTGGGTTGGAGCCCAGGTGCTTTGGAGAATGAGATCCCTGGTGCTCAGGATGCTTATAAACAGAGAAAATGTGTGTGAACTGGCCTGTGCACAGGGCAGAAAGAAGTCATGGTTGATGTGGACATTCAGACAATGGGCTGGAGAATGTAGGACTGCGTTTATTCTGACCCAGAGGTTGGGGTATAGAACTAACATGTTAATTCTACAGCTCAGGAAGCATCCTCATTGAGAAGCAGCATCCAAATTTTCCTTGGAGGGAACCAGTCATGTCTCAGGTACTTGCCATGAGTCTTAAGTGGGGCTCACTGCACCCTGAGCGCCGAGGGTGGGCATGTGACTTAGGCAGGCTCATTCCTCTGTTGTGCTCATGGGACACGAAGAAACAGATGCAGAGGGTTGAGGCTCTGGAGGAGCTGCAACAACCCTCCTTACCATCCAGCGATTTTTATTGTGAGCTACAAAAAAGCAGGTGTGAGAGATAGTGATCAGCAGAAACCATAAAATGCACAAGAACAAGTGGCTTTGTTCTGAGCTATATATGCTTAGCATTTTTCCTTAAGGCCATAACTCTCCTGGGGGCAAGCTTCCCAGACGTTAAGGATCTGTTTTCAGTTTCTGGCAGAAATGTTTCCCTCCTTTTCAAGGGGATTTCTGCAATTCTGGAAAGCTTGCTACCCAACTCCTTCAGAGTTTGTTTGTTGTTTGCTCGCCTTTTCCTACACTCTGTGCCAGGCTGGTCAGTGAACATCAGCTCCAGGACTTTTGGGGATGTCTCCTATAGGACACTGTCTTTTCTGCTAGATTAGCTGAGCATGTAGGATGTTGGCTTTGGGCTGCTGGCAGCCATTTTGGCACCATGAGGGGAAAGCCCATCTATGCATGGAGCCAGTATTGTGGAGAGATGTGTAATTTGAGTCTGTATATCTAGCTAGGCCTGAAGCTAGACTACCACTAGGCTTTTCAGTTATGTATGCCAGGAAACTATCTTTTGATGGTTTGAGTTCAGTTTTCTGCTACTTGCAAACAAATGAATCCTGATACACTGTGGAATCTTGGAGAAACAAGCTGGATCTTGAAGCAGAATCAGGGTTTTGATAGGTCACAGAAGGACCTACCTCTAAGAAAGAAATGAAATTCAGAAACTCCAAGGCCTAAACAGAGTGAGGAGAGGTTTGGAGGGTGCCGGGTAGAATTCGAGCCATGAAGCACCTCTCTCTGTAAAGTGGTGGCAGTGGCCTTTGCTGAGTTTGTAAGGACAGAGATGAGAGGCTTTACTTAATTCAACACTGTGGATTATTTAATCCAGGCAGAGAGGTAACTCAGAAACACAGGAGCCCTGTTGGCTCCTTATCATTTTAATGAACAAGTTAATGATTTCTGCTTTCCTTATTTCTACATTTATTAATTGGAATTCTTCTATAACAAAGAGTTGTCCCTTCTCCTTCAGTTTTTTTGTTTTTTTTAATATATCTTTATTGATTTTAGAGAGAGGAAAGGAGAGGGAGAGAGAGAGATAGAAACATCAATGATGAGATAGTCACTGATCAGCTGCCTCCTGCACAACCCCCGCTGGGGATGGAGCCCGCAACTCAGGCATGTGCCCTGACCAGGAATTGAAC